TCAGCAGAGCAATCCAGAGAATCCCTGAACAGCCACTTGGGTGTTTGAAAGTCTGCAGCCAGCAAGATACTCACTAATAAAGGTAGTGCAGTGCCTGAAATTTTGCTACTGGAAGTGGTTCCAACTATGATAATCTTGACTTGCATTACAGTTAAACTTTCTTAGGTTTCACAGATGTCTGTCTGTCCCTTAACCTGAATCCCTTGAGGGGACTAGCAAGGAGGTGTGGTCAAAGTATATTTCCATCTTTAAGTTCAGTGTGTAGCAGCTCAGTCATAGCTTCTTTAATCAAAAACATGATTATCAAGAGAAAAAGACATGAGTATGGTGGTGTTCACCTTTTATAAACTAGCCTATTGTTTGGAGCACATCCAAGATGAGAATTAAAGAAGAGACTGAATCAACCATCTGTACTCAAAGGATGTGAGTAAACAGCTTGTGTTTAGAATGTGACTTAAGTTTGCAATATTCAGTTTCACACAGATGCTTTCAGGACATGAGGTAAACACCAAAGTCCAGACAGTGGCAGTAATAAAGGTGAACTCCCCTCTTTAGCAGTCCCTACTGTCTGATTTAAGCTCTCTTTTCCCATCTGCACATCTGTAAATATGGTCCTTGGACAAGTTCAGGAAGCCTTTGAAGTTGTGGTATAAAATAATTTTATACAGTGATTGTTACTTTATATGTCATGGTATTACCAGTTTGGAAATTAATCCTCTCGAATAGATTCTTCTTGGATATTTTCTTTAATATGACTCAGCTAGAATCTATTTCTAGACAAATAAGCAGAAAGCCTACAGAAAATATGTTAATGAAGCCGGGATAATTTTACATGGCTACAATTATAAAGGGATTTTTTTTGTTTGACTTTAAGGATCGGCTAACAGTCATTAAATGGTAATTCTGTAATGCAATGTAGTAAGCTTAGTAATTTTACAAAGCATGTTCTGCGCCAATGATGATGTTGGCGTTGTTGGCACAGACCATTGGAGTTGTGTAACGAAACTGTTTGGTTTCTGTTTCTAAACTTCTTTTTTCGTTATTGAACCATAAACATTTCTCCCTGACCTGAAATTTTGATCTAAGATTCTCTTAAATTAATAGTTTAAAGTTTTAGGAAGAAGAAAATAATTGAAGTATTAGAGATGCATTTTATGCAAACATATATCAAAATGTGTCAATTGTAAGAAAAGTAGTCAGTGATGTATTGTTTTACAAGAAAAATAACCATAGCATTAAAACATAGCAGCTGCTTCCTAGGCAGGAGGAAAACTTTAGATTTGTTCCCTAACGGCTCCTTGGATCTTGGCTTGATGCATGGGCAGATCAGAAGTTTGTATGAGTAGAGGGTAATAACAGGTAGTTGCTGATTAATAGGTCTTTGCTCTTGACTTTCCCTTCTGCCTAATTTAGAAGCACTGAAAACAGGGTGAGACTGCTTGCTTCCACAAGGGGCTACCATCAGCTTTGGGGCAGTTGTCATTTAACTGAGGTTGGATAATGAGCAGCTGTTGATATAGAGTTGCTATAGATGTTTCTAAAGAGACTGTGTGATACCATCCTAGCTCATGGCTTTTGCTTATTTCTTGCACTTTCTTGGTTGGTTTTTTTTTTTTTTTTTTTCTGTGCAATAACTCTTAAATGGCATTCTTCATTAAAGGACGGGGAAAGCTGAGAAAACAGTAGGAAAAATCCAGTGCTTTCCCAGATAATGACGAATCACTCTTGGTGTTAGGCACGCCTTAGCTCATGGCCTTTTCTTTTTTTTTCCCCTTTTTGGGTTGTTTTTTTTTTTTTTTTTTTCTGTGCAATAACTCTTAAATGGCATTCTTCATTAAAGGACGGGGAAAGCTGAGAAAACAGTAGGAAAAATCCAGTGCTTTCCCAGATAATGACGAATCACTCTTGGTGTTAGGCACGCCTTTGTTCTTCACCATTCGTTAACTGTTGCTTATCTGTTACTTGGTTGCGATTAGGAAAATTGGCTCAGTAAAAATGACCCACCTTCTCTGTGCACCAAATAATATTTGTGTTAGAGACAGTAGTATGTCTTTGCTCTGTTCCTGATAGGAGTGCAGAGCACTGATAAGGCTGTGGAAGCCTCTAACTCCTGCACAAATCTACAGCTGCATAATTGTATGTTACTGGCAGTAAAAACAAAACAACATCCAACTTATGTTTTGAATCGCAGGTTAGATTTGTAGAACTACTAGGAAAATCCAAGATTGCTTTTGCACCAGTGAAATAAATATGATCTAAAAATTTAAGTGAAAATATGAAATCTTTTTATTCACTTGACAGTGTAATCTCATTTTATTTGAAGTAACTGTGATTTCTAATTTCTAATGGGACATCACATCTACCTCCTATTTCCTGCTACCTGATCTGTTTTTAATACCTTGCTTAATATTGCCATATGAAGCCATTAATCACAATGCCTCCCTTTCTGTTCAAAGGCAGAGACCCTTTGCTTCAGAGTGAGATGTGGTGATGATGAGTTGCAAAGCATGGAAAGCAAATGTGGGAACTGAGATCGAAAGGTTACTGGGTGGATAAATACAAAGAGGTGGGCTGATTCAGCTAAGTAAAAAAAGTACATACCCTTATTCCTGGTTAGTATTAGTGTTGGTTTTGGACCTGCCTCAGGTCAATTCCCATTCGTCCTTCAGCAGAGCTTTCCTCTGTCCCTTTATTCCTCCCCAAAATGCTTATTAGAAACCAGTTCATGTGTTCATCAAAGCAGTTTTTATTGGTCCTGTGCCCATGCTTCATAACAGGAGAGTTGTCTTAATGATTGTTCCAAAGGGGTCTTTCAGCTGAAATATTGCGTATGTTACAGTGTAATACTTAATACTGTTAATGTTCTTAAATGAATGAAGAACAAAGTTTGAATATAGAAATTTCTAACTGTGTTTTGGAGGGTTGGGAGGTGTTGCTTTTTTATTAAGGTACTCTACATAGTGATGTGAAACAAATCAAGTAGCTGTAGTGTGTTGTATTTGATTGTGAGATAGGAAGATAACTAGAATGACTGGAGGAAAATGTATACCACAAAAGCAGAAAGAAATTTACAAGTTCTGCATACATTGCAGTTTCTACACAGTGCAAAATTGCTTACAGACTGGTGGGGGTTTTTTGTGTCTGCCATTCATTTAAGGGAATGGGAGGAAAAATAATAATCTGTAAGCCTGGTTTAGATATTAGATTAGTCCTTTGAAAATCACTTTGTGTTGAAAGCAGGGAGGAGGAAAGTGTGCTTGCTGTTCTTATCCTTGTGGAAATCATGGAGCAAAATTTAAAAGTTCACTTAGGATTGTGAGATAAGAAATCAAGAGCTAGGTGGTTTGAAAAAAAGACGAAGGAAAAAAGGTGGTAAGCTACTGGGAGCTAGTTGGAAAAATCAGACCTTAGAGGATATAGCAAAAGGATCCTGATCGTCCTGAAGTCCACAGTCTGAGTAGTTCTAAATGCTTCATGCTTGCACTGTAGCAGCTGACAGGTCTAAGTCTCTAGTAACAGTGTCAGAAATTTTTTATGATTGTCTATCAGCAGAATCTACGCAGGAAAAATCTCAAGTCTCTAATAACAAATACTCAATATACAGAGGAGTACAGAAACCTAAAAATCACATTTTTTCTGTGAAAATCTCCTGCATATCAACCTGTTTATGGTTCATATACTTGCATATGAGAA